CAGTACATATATGGAAAGTAAGCAGCAAGATCAGTCCGCTTCCCGAATTCAGTGTTTTTGTGATGTTACAAAAACCTGTGCATTTACACAGGTAATTTACAAATATCAGTCTTAAATGCACATTAACAAAACCAGCCTGTTTAATTCTAAGAGATAGCTGGAGGTTGGAATCCCGCTGACTGTGTGCCACTGCTGGCCCACACTTGGACCACCCAGACTATTGTCCTGCATACAAGGTCTAACCAGGGTCCACAAATGCTCCTGCGTGTCAAATTCGATGTTCCTCTATCTTTACAATAAGACAACATAGAAATATGTTTCAACGGTTCTTTCCTAAATCTGTAGACTCGCCCTTTTCATCTCATCATGAGATCATACGTGACCAACATCCAGAGTTATGAGTTATGAAGATGGGCTGAGATACACGTCATCTGCCTCTTACCATGTGTCATTGGTGGATTTGTGTATCCGTCTACATTTTGTATGAAGCTGATCAATGGGCACTCAGGAAATCACTATCACGCCAGAAACCCTTCGATCTTTATTCAGTCCACATCAGAGACACATGTGGAATAGTGTGCAGAGAGTTTACAGCTGCTACAGTTGCTGCAGCGGTTTTGGAAAGTAGTGATGAAGATAACAGAGTATTTTAATACAAAGCATATGAGTGTCATGTTGTAAAGTTTTTATGATTTTTATCAAGCTGGGCTCTAAACACTACTGGGTTGTTTTTTCTACCAAGATGTGGGGTTGAGCCTGTTGGGTCATTGCATACGGTAACGTGCTGGGTAGTTTTTAGTTAGTTGTCGGGGAGCCCAGCCGCTGGGTGAGTGAGTGTGTCACAATAACAAGCCAGCCAACAGCGTTGGTTAGAACAAACAGCTTCTCATTAGGCAGAAGCGCGGAGACACAGAGCTAACAGGAATCGACAATTAAATTTCTACTTAACCATCAGAGAAACCAAAAAAAATAGTATTTCATTTCAAGAAAACTATTTTTCTAGTTGTGATGTGAGACTGATTGTGGTAAAATAGTGATAAATCAGGGTAAAAATCAAAATTTTTTTTGAGGCATTAAACACTTCAGATGTCTGGTTCCTATCACCACCGCTGTGAAAAAGTCTGACTCAATGGCTTTGTTTAAACTTTCATTCTTTCATTCAAACTTTGTTTTTCCCTTGTCTTACTGAAGAGCCACTGTCAGCTGTAGCCCTGTATATGACATTGGTTGATATTCATAGCTGAATATTAGGTCATGAATAAACAAACATTAACTTTATTTGTGTAAAAATTGTATTATACGCAGCTAACATTAGCCTACCAGCTAAGTTACAAAGGTCAGCTAGAGTGTAAAGTATTGACTTGTAGCTTTGTAATACTTCAGTGTGGATAGGTTTCTTTATTATTTTCATTTTATTTATGAACTGTGGAGCTAATGTCTGTTCTCCTAGATGTGCTATTACTTAATGTTTGTTGCCTATTTGTTTGTTGAGATGGATTTTTATGCTGTCCTCCTGTATGTCATAAGTACGGTGAAAACAATAAAAACATCTGAACTACAACAACAGTTTTTTCGTCTATTTGTCAGAAATAAAAGTAGCAGAACTGCAGGAGTAGATTACAAAACCGAAATTCTCTAATGGCAGACTTCTGCTGATTAAGGAAGGAAACCACATTCAGATGGAGCGCCTCAAGCCCAAGAGCAGGAAACAGAAATCAAGCTGAATCAATTGTTTTCACCCTGAAGCTTAGCTTGCCTTGCTTTGTTTATCTAGGACAGATCGCATTAGATTTTTGACTGAAGTGCTAAGAGGGAGGATAGCACAGTGTTTAAGAAACGGCTGTTGATGTGTGGCTTTCTTGCATTGCTAATATACTGCTGGCTATAGCAAGATCATTTTCTCACAGTTAAAGAATGGAAAACTGCATTTACATTAAAATAGTTGTACAAGGAGAGAACATGTATAGTTCTGTACAGTTCTGTACATGGAACTGACACCTTGTAAACGTTTTGTCCACCCCTTCAAATTCAGCATTTGTAAAAGAGAGTCGTAAAACAGGCCAATTCCAAAGTCTTAAACTGTTACGTAATAGTCTTAACTCATTAATATTTATGCCCCCAAAATTTACATACATCAGCCGACTTTCTAGCCCAGTGAAACAACAACAGAGCAACAGCAATGAAAATGGCAGACTATGTGCAGAAATGCACTGTGCCAGGCTGTGAAGGGGGCGTCAGCACTTTTTTCAAGGAAGTGAACTGTCAGTAGTTGATGTGCATCTTTAAATGAGGCTGTAGTTGGCTTCCTATTCACCAGCTTCATAATGAAATGTTCCGTTCCACCTTAAACGCTACAGCTTGTACAGGTGCCAGAGTGTACAGCGCTAGAAAGTAAATGCAGCACCATTTAAGGCGGAACAGAAAGTTTGCAAATCAAGCTGGCGAATAATCAACCAACTTTAGCTCCCATCCTCAACAGGATCCCGGACAACTTTATTTCAAAGTTGATAGTTTGCTCTGCACATTTCATTCCAGACAGTTTCTGGATAATATCGAGCAGGTTTCGCTTAGCATTTGACACTAAAGAGACGGAGGGGCAGTTCCAATTTTATTAGCATCACAACCCCAACTGCACTCTATAATTATCCATGCTGTGTGATCTTATTTACTTTGGATGGTTGAATCCAGATCATCTTAAACTGAAAGTTTCATAGTGAACTACCAACTTTAATTTACTTTGTGTTGCTGTCAAGATCGAAAGCATTATTTGTTCCATTTACCCAGATTGATAACAGGTCTACCCAATCAAATAGGGGAAGAATATGTATTAAGCCGACATTTTAGAATAATGAGATTTGTTTTCCTTGAGTGCTGTCACTGTATTATGACCCTATTATCACACTAATATGCTCTTGCCAAGCTCTGCCTTCTTCTCTCAGCCCTCCATTCAGTGCACAGCAATCGTTGCCATCCGTCATCGCCTCAAGCTCAGTTCATTATATGCGCCAGTGTTTGATTCGGAAGCTCCAGCTGAAGCTGGCTTCCTATTGGCCAGCTTCTTAATCAAGCATTCCATTCCACCTTAAACGGTACAGCTCATACAGCTTTTAACATTCGGTTAGAAGATGTAGCTGTGGATGGTTAAAAGTCCTATTGAAAATGTCGTTTTTTTACAGTCATCGTCAGTTTTCATACTAAGAGTGAAACGGGAAATGGCCTTTTGTTGAAATGCCAAAGCAAACATCCATCAAAGGTAAAACAAGACTAAACATTTTATATGCCCGCCATGGCCGTATGGTTCGGTTAAAGTGTAGATTAAGGTTTTTATCTCAATCATGTCATCTTCTTTGGGTCCGTGTGTTTGGAAATTATGTCTACCGAGTTACCAATTTTTCACAGAACTAACCAAAGATTGATTTCCGCCTGTGCCACAGGATCGTGGCGAAGAAGTCAACTTCAGCCTTGTTGGTATACCTTGGAAGTTTTGATGACGTTCATGGTTTTACTGAAAAACTGTACTGCACACTGGAGGAGAACCACAGCGTGACAGATGGACAGCTAGCCTAACCTAGTCAAGTTGAAGTTCATCTCAAGTTCAGTGCAAATTTAAGTGACTATAACTTTTAGTGGTTTAGTTCTGGATTTAAGTTTGTTGAGGCTAAAACTGATTTCTTTACAGAGCCCTGCTGGTGACATCCTGTATAAATTATCTTGTGGGAATGAGATCCTAATGCACGGCCACGACTTAATAAGGAGTGAGAACAAGATAATTAAGTCAGAGCCATGACTTAGGAAGGCATGGGAATGAGATCATGCCTTACTAAGCTGTGGGTAAGGCTTAATTATCCCATTCCCATGCCTTACTTAACTGTGGCCACACATTAGGATTTCATTCCCATGCCTTACTAAATTGTGGCCACAAATATGTTTTTTTTTCATACAGAATGTCACCAGCAGGGCTCCGTAGGCTTCTTATTTGAATTTTACATTCCACCTTAAATGGTGCAGCAGTCGCATTCTGGTGCTAGCGACTACTGCACCATTTAAGGTGGAATGGAAAATTTGATAAAGAACCTGGCAGATAAGATGCTAACCTCAGCTTTGTTTGTGTAGAAATGGAAAGATTCTGAGTGGCAATACTGGAAGTCGCAAGTTATGCAGTGTGTGTAACTACACCCATAGGGTCCATGACCACTTGTAGCGCAAGGCCCCCTGAGCATGCTAAAGCACCCCTGAGTATGATGACCTAGCTCATTTACATGGAGATTAATTTTATTTTCCTGCTGTGCCTATTTGAACATGTTGCTTCTATGTGCCTGCAGTGCCTCGCTGTAAACCAGCAAATCAGAGCAGAGCTCATCAAATTATTCATGAGCCCACCAAAAACGTGAAAATGTTTTATTCTAGGACCAAATCAGAGTGTCGGAAATGAGCATGTAAAACCATGTCTGGCCATTTCTTTTTTTTGCCCAGACCCACATACCTTCTGTGTAGACATCAAAGAACAATTTAAAATACTAAATAAATAAATACATTCTATGTCACTTTTAATGTTTGTAATATAGTGGTTGGCAATATGGCAAAATGTCTTATCATAACAATTCAGGAAGATTTTTTCGATATATTCTGTCACAGTATTTTTTCTGACGTCTAATAAATTAGAACAGACAAAGTAAGCCCACGTTTTAAAAATTCTGTGAAACACTAAATCCAATAAACAGGACTAATTATGATCTCTTTAATCATGATCATAATCTAACATGCAGTTGATAGAATAATAATAACAGACAATATCCACAATATGCTCAAAAAAGCATACTGCCACATACTGTGATGCAATTGATCACAATAATGAGAAACACTGTCATATTGCACAGCTCTACTCTAAAGTATTTTAAGGCCTGGCTATCCTGCATATTCACACTTAGCAAAGTGTGAACTCTCTGGGTGCGGCTGAGTGTAAAAGCATCTGCTGAAAGCAACTGACCAAAACAAACCTTATCGCAGCGAGAGGGATATCACTGGCAACAGTAAGTGCTCCCATTTTATAGTCACTCCACAAATATTGGCACCCCTGATTAAGGCTGTAAAAACATTCTTTATTGCTTATCATTTTGATCTTTCATTCAAAATATGAACAAAATCTAAATTTGTTTGAAGTAAAATGATGGAAAAAGGCTAAAGCTTATCATAAATTTCTTATCATGATTTTTATCAAATCTGTGTGTGCCACAAATATTGGCACGCCTTCATTTAATACTTTGTGCAGGCTTCCTTTGCAAAGGTAACAGCTCTGAGATTTCTATTATAATGCTTAATGAGACTGGAGAACACATGGCAAAAGATCTGAGACCGTTCCTCCATACAGGACCTCTCCAGATCCTTTAGATTTCGAGGTTCACACTGTGGACTCTCCTCTTCAGCTCATTCCCCAGGTTTTTATGGGATTTAGGTCAGAGGACTGTGATGACCATGGCAAAACCTTGATTCTGTGGTCAGCAAACCATTTTTCTGTTGGTTTTGAGGTGTGCGTTGGATCGCTGTCCTTCTGGAAAATCCAAACAATGGCCCAGTTTAACCTTTCTGGCTGAGTCAGTCAGGTTTCCATTTTATTTCTGCTGGTACTCGATGGAGTCTGTGATACCATGTATCTGAATAAACTGTCCAGAGCTTTTGGTAGAAAAACACCCTCACAGCATCACAGATCCACCACCATTGTCCTTTCCCCACAGTGGGGATGAGGTGCTTTTCTGCATGGCTATCTTTGTGTCTACACCAAACTCACCACTGGTGTTTCTTGGTAAAAAGCTTGTTTTTGGTCTCATCTGACCACAGAACATGGTCCTACTGGAAGTTCCAGTTTGGCAAACTGTAGGAGTTTGTTTGTTGGTCCTCGACAACAGAGGCTTTTTCCTGGCAACCCACCCAAACAACTTGTGGTTATATAGGTAGTGTTTGATTGTAGTTTGGGAAACCCAAATGTTAAGAGCTATTTTGTCCTTTCAACAAAATCAAACCACCTTGGGAGCCGCAACATTTTATGTCCATTTTGTTGGTTTTACCACCTTGGCAGAAAATATGTCTTAATGTGTGCTAGCTAATGTCCTAGTGTAGACTAAAAAAAATTACTATAAACAAAAACGCAGACTTGCGAAAAAACTCTGCTTTAAGGTTTAGCTCAGCTATAGCAGCTTTTCTTGCATCTCCAGCAGGAAACTTTTCCTCAAAAGTGGAACAGTTTTTTGTAAAATGTCTCTCAACGTTCAACTTTTTACGAAGTTGAGGTCAGCTTTCAGTCAGCAGCTTCTTGTTTTTGTTATTTTCCCGTTCCACCTTAAATGCAGTTACATGTATCTCCTGCACCATTTAGGGTGGAACGGGAAAATTCGAATAAGAAGCTGGCGAATGAGAAGCTGAGTTCAGATCCTCAAATCCACATATGTTTAGTGTTTGACAGTTTCTTGTTGCAGATTAAACATGTCAGGAAACCAGCTGCAGTGATTATAAATGCAAATACGTCCATTCATCTCCAAATTATCAATATTCATCTTAAATCTTTCTCTTTGCCTTTTTTGTTAGCTACTAGCTAGGTGAGACTCTTGTCTGTGTTGCTATGTGATCATTTTATGTCAAAATGACCAATATAATTGGTCTTTTTAAGTAAAAGAGTTTGATGTTTCTATTATAATGCTTAATGAGACTGGAGAACACATGGCAAAGGATCTGAGACCGTTCCTCCATACAGAACCTCTCCAGATCCTTTAGATTTCGAGGTTCACACTGTGGACTCTCCTCTTCAGCTCATTCCCCAGGTTTTTATGGGATTTAGGTCAGAGGACTGTGATGACCATGGCAAAACCTTGATTCCGTGGTCAGCAAACCATTTTTCTGTTGGTTTTGAGGTGTGCGTTGGATCACTGTCCTTCAGGAAAATCCAAACAATGGCCCAGTTTAACCTTTCTGGCTGAGTCAGTCAGGTTTCCATTTTATTTCTGCTGGTACTCGATGGAGTCTGTGATACCATGTATCTGAATAAACTGTCCAGAGCTTTTGGTAGAAAAACACCCTCACAGCATCACAGATCCACCACCATTGTCCTTTCCCCACAGTGGGGATGAGGTGCTTTTCTGCATGGCTATCTTTGTGTCTACACCAAACTCACCACTGGTGTTTCTTGGTAAAAAGCTTGTTTTTGGTCTCATCTGACCACAGAACATGGTCCTACTGGAAGTTCCAGTTTGGCAAACTGTAGGAATTTGTTTGTTGGTCCTCGACAACAGAGGCTTTCTCCTGGCAACCCGCCCAAACAACTTGTGGTTATATAGGTAGTGTTTGAGTGTAGTTTGGGAGACGTTCTGAACCCAAGACCTAATTTCTGCAACTCTCCATCTGTGATCCTTGGAGATTCTATGTCCACTTGAACCATCTTCCTCACTGTGTGTGGGGTCAATACAAACATACGTCCTCTTCTCACCAGATTCCCATCTCCAGTTGTTTTAAGCTTCTAAATTATTGTCTCATAATGGAACTCTATTTTCTTGTAGCCATTTCTGAGTTTGTCCTGCTCAACAACCTTTTGTCACACATCATAGCTGTTTTCTCTGGTCTTTGTCATAATGGTGGATGACTGAAGGATTTTGGCCTGTATTTAGTTGCATATATATTCCCCAGTGAATCAGAAAGCCATGCCTGACCATTTATCTGCTCCTAATTGCTCAGGTGAACTTTAAAATAACAAACTTCAGAATATTTTTTAGAGTTAATTTAGCTCATGATTACCAGGGGTGCCAATGCTTGTAGAAGGTACCGTACTACCTATGCTGCTTTTCGGAAGACGCTGTTAAAAAAAAGGCATATAGAGATATGTAGATATGAGCGTAAACAGGAAATCTAAAATTAAGAGCAAGAACTAGTCTTTCTGCTTTCTCTCTAACAAAGCAGGTTGACCAACTTTCGGACTCAGCTTCAAACATGGCCAAAGACCTTGGCGTAGTAGCCTAGGCCTGCACCCTTAAAGGAATATTCTATCGTTTTTAACTCAATCTCTATTCGCTGCATCTGTAGCATAACAGTAGATTACCACATATAATTCCTTCAAAGCATTTCCCAATACTTAGAAAGCAGTTGCCCATTGGGTTCTATTATACATTTCACCAGTGTTAAACTTTCTTCTAAGTGTGGTACAGAGCAAAAGTTAGAGACCACCCTTCATGTATGTAATTTCCAGTCAGAACAGTCAATAAGAGCAAGTTACTCCTTTTCAAGAGGTTTTTCTGAAAAGAATAGATATAAGAAAATGTACTCACATAAACGAGTCTGAAAGGATGTGAAACTGTCAAGAAGAGAATTTGCAAATTTGCTAAAAGGAAAGTGATTGTGTTCTCAGAACAATGGACTAGACTCAACATCACTGAATGTATTTGGAATTAAACTGAACTGAAAAGTGGTATTACAATTATTTGTTGAGGCCTCTGTGTACATGTTCGGTTTAATTTATGCTTAATTTTTTTTACTGATGCTGAAAAATTGATAATTTGTACTTAATGGATGTTCTGACTGGAAATTTAAGTGGGGTCTCTGACTTTTGCATAGTACTGTGATGAATTACTGTCCATGACAATCATACTATACAGATGCAGATTAAGACTAGCTTGAGAAAGGCTGGCATATATATATATATATATATATATATATATATATATATATATATATATATATATATATATATATAAATATAAAATGATGTCTAAAAAGTTAAGGACCTTTTGACCATTCAAAACCAAACAGCAGAAGAAACTCAGGCTTTCCTCCAGACTGCACTCTGTATCACTGAAAGCTCAATAGTAGTAACCTCCATTCAAGCAACTATAAGGAAATTGTATGGAAGTGTCATATTGGCTTAACAATGATTGGCTATGAGAGGGCAGGGTGTTGATAGCTCGATGGCTGACTAACCCATAGTTCTTCACCAATCTTCTCTGGGAAATGTAATCTCAGAGTGTGGCAGACTAGAAGACATAATAACACCCATTGGTCTCCTTTTTATTAAATAGCTTTAACAGCAGCCACCATGGTGGAGGCAGCACCTATGGAGAAAAATAGAATATTAGAATCTGAAATAATATAATAAAAATATAAAAATACTGTAAGATTAATACTCACACCATGCATACAGTACCATGCAAAAGTCACTTTATATATTCTCAAGTGAAAACAGTCATTAAGTACAAGTTATTCATTTTTCAGGAGATATTTCTGAGATTAGATATAACATGACCTACTTGCATAAGGAAGGGGGAAGAGTTTGTAAAACTCAAATGAGACTCTTAACAACCACCGGAAACAGCACTTAAAGCTTTCATCTTTGAGAGAGAGGAGAAAATCAAGCTGCTGCAGATCTGAAAACATCCACAGGTATTTCTGTCCATCCTTCTACTGTGAGAAGACAACTCAGCGCTATGGGTCAGAAAGAATGAGTAGCTGTCAAGAAGGCATCCCTGAAAAAAGGAAAGATTTACACTACAACACCAAAACTGGACATTTGAGAATAAGATTTTATAGACTGATGAGTCTACATTTCTAATTTGGATTACTCGGATAGTGTAAAGCAGAAAATGTAACCAACTTCTAAGACTGAACTTTGGAGGTGTGGCTGCAGATTTCTTTGAAAAACAGAAAGTAAGTCTCCTGAAAAGAATGGAAGAATGGTAAAAAAAATGGTGCCATTTTCTTCAGAATATGTGTTTTCTGACATTGTACTTAATTACATTTATCACATTTATATATATATATATATATATATATATATATATATATATATATATATATATATTTCACATTACAGAAAAGATCATATCAGACAATCTGAGTTATAATCATTTATCAGCATTAGCAACATAACAAGATGCAGCTTTATTTCTGATCATCTTCAAGTGGTAGCAATTAAGTGCTTAACCAAAGGAAGGAGGTCACCATCAGTGAAACCTTAAGATTGTGCAACACCAGGCACTTATGCTAACACCTGCTTTTTGTTTTCAGCAGGCTTCAACAGTATGATTTCACCATTTTGATACTACAGCTGGTTCTCTGGTTATGTCCCACTACATACTTTAATGGTGAGCTCTTATCTCACTGAAAGATTTTCTTAATTAAAATACATACAGTTCGGAGAAGAAGTAAGGCTCTATCACTTTTCTTGTTTCACTAGAAGTGTGACGAAATGGCAGAAGAACATGAAGCTGCTTTTGGTAAGTGATGAATGCTGTCTGTTTCTTTTGTGATTAGAATAAAGGCAAAAAGCAAGCATTAGCCCCAAAAACCCAGCATTAGCCCCTAGCACTGTCTACACCAGGGGGTCGACAACCCAAATGTTAAGAGTTAACCACCTTGGGAGCCACAACATTTTATGTCCATTTTGTTGGTTTTACCACCTTGGCGGAAAATATGTCTTAATGTGTGCTAGCTAATGTCCTAGTGTAGACAAAAAAAAAATTACTATAAACAAAAACGCAGACTTGCGAAAAAACTCTGCTTTACGGTTTAGCTCAGCTATAGCAGCTTTTCTTACATCTCCAGCAGGAAACATTTCCTCAAAAGTGGAACAGTTTTTTGTAAAATCTCTCTCAACGTTCGACTTTTTACGAAGTTGAGGTCAGCTTTCCAGGGTTTACATGATTTGCATATCATTGCATTCTATTTTTCATTTACATTTTGCACAGTGTCCCAACTTTTTTGGAAATGGGCTTGTACATTGATTTAATATTGTCTGAAGTACTACAAGGTGAAAAGCAATAGCTGGGCCTTTACTACATTTCGAGGCAAAATAATGTCATGTATGCATTGCATTTCATGTTTTCCGCTTTCTTGTTTGTTTTCAATCTAGCACAATCTAGCTCTAGAATCTAGCTTCTCCATACATAATGTCTGTTGTCAAGAAAGCTAACTAGAGAACACACCAAAATTAGCATGTGACATAAGCTGCCATCATGGCATACATTACACCATCTGCAATGACTGTGATGACAACTTGTGAAAGCATATGACATCTTCCATTACATGTTTATGGTATGGTTTTGTCAATGTTATATAGCAGTGATCTAGTAAAGTGTTACCCACCAGCCCAGGACTGGAGTTCGCCACCCCGACTGCCACTAGGGTCGTCGTCAACATGAACAAGTATTAAATTTTCATTTCTGTGATGTGCAGATTGTACTGGATGGCTTCGCTTCTTCCTGTTCTGCATCTGGCTTTTCGACATCGGGCTGATATTCACTGTTACACATCTGGAAATAGATCTGAATAGAAGAGTTAAGAAGTTGAAAAACAAAATGTCTCAAATCATGCAGACTAATGACAACAGTGAAAACACAGAGTAACACTGGATGGATTGGAAACATCAGAATCTGCCTCTATATCCTGGTTCTTTATACCTTCATTACTTTCACATAGCAATGCAGGAAAGCCTTGGTTTGCTTTAATATATGTATTGCCTCAAAATTAGTATGTGTATTTTAGAACCTTACAGTAATATTAAAAACTAAAAAGTTTATGAGGACTTCTGCATGACAAGAAACAGCGTGACCACTTATTCACATATCACAGCATAACACATAAGGAGATGCTTTATTAGTCATCTTAGGGTTTCCCAGGTGCACACCGGGAGCTGAAAACAAGTTTAATTGTTAGTATAAGCTTTCAAAGGACACTGTCATCTGCCATCTCACCATGACCTTATTATTAGAACATATTCAGAGAAGTGGGTGAACAGTCTGTCAGGGTTATTATTGGTGATGAAAGTGAAAAAGCATGCTCATTAGCTGCATTGAAAAAAATAGTTTTTAAAAACACGACTAAATCAAAACTGACGTGCAACATGAACTAAAGCTAAGGTAAAACTTTCTGACAAAAACTAATGGATGATTCCATCGAATTGAGTCAAAGTTAGACTTGAAAACACCTTTTGGATTTTTTATTGATGTGGGCTTTAGACTAAAATCCTTTTGCTTTGAGCAACTCTATACCTTAAATATGTTTATTTGGTTAAAATAAATAGCTGCACATTCCATTTTGTCACTACCAAAACAATCATAACACTACTGAATCTTTACCAAATGTTTCAGTAGTGACTGTTTGGGTAGTGGCAATTTAGTAGAACTCACACATGCTAACCACTTCATAACTAGCAAACACAGCTTTGAACAGTTGTACACAAAAAACATGGTATTTTTTATTAAAACACAAATTTACCTAATTGCAGAAAATATGTATTTTCAGTAGTTACAGTTCTGCAAAATAACTTTGGAGAAAAAAATGTTTTTGTGTTTTCAATACATAAATCACAGTCTAGAAGATGGATTGATGGTGGTGTTCAAATAAAGCTTATAACCTAAATAAGAATAGCCTCCTGTTGTTCTAATTTAACATTACTGAAATAACAGAAGTCATCATTCATAATTGAGAATCACTCTTTTCTACTAATTTCTGGCAAAATATTCTCAATAACACTTAAAACTAAAGACTAAACAAACATTCTTCCTTTTTGGGAAAAAATAAACCATTAATGCACTCCTAAAACTATTTTACTCTACCAGGTGAGGATAAAGTTACTAAGCACACCAAGAAGTGCATTTAGAATGTAAACTAGAACAATATGTTGATGTATTGATTTCTTTTTGTGGAATTATTACTTATTGTGAAAAGGCTGCTAGTATAATATAGATTGGAGAGTATTAGCATTTATGCTAGCCTCCACAGAATGGGTGTTTTTGATCATATTTTTATAGAAAAGGAAAAGCTTTGCTTGATTCTACACATGATTGTGTGTAATTGTAGACCTTTTTGTAGGTGTATGCACACAGTAGGCTATATCCTTTCATCCTCAGCCAGTAAGCTAAGCTAAACAGCAAGAAATTAGCCTAATTAGCCAAGGTCAATGTTTTAGAACGGCATAAAATGACCAAAATAACAATTGAATTGTCAATCAATAACAGTAATATGATGATTCCAGTTGTCTCAAGCAGGAAATAAACTAACTAACTAGAACCACACATTCTGTTTGTTGCCGCTTTGGTCAGTTCTTGTTTTTGAATGTACAGTGGAATAACACGGGTAACAGGCCTCTGTAAATAACATTACTGATGTATTATGTTTAATTGTTATATCTATATAAATACATATAGCAATTTTATAACAGGTGTTCATTTAATAAGGTACAACTTTATAATGGTCAATTAATGATTAATGATTAACCTATTCAAAGATAAGTTGAACAGTGTTTGTGACTGAAGCTCCAGTCATCCATTTCTCTATAATGAATATAATGAAATGAAAGTCACTTGCAAGTCAATTTGCTATTCTGATCCAAATTCTGATCCGGCTGGGTCTGCTCAGCATTTCTATCCATGCCACAAAGCACGGTAGGATGTTAACTGCTTAATCCTATCATGCAATACACCCATCTGGACGATCGACATGCATTTGCTATGTTTCTCTTCTTATGTATTCAGGGGTTTTCCTTCAATTTGTCACAAATTTGCCATCTGTACACAGTTATATCAAGCACTATAATAGACTTCATGGTATGCTGACTAATATTGGAATAATGAGCTGGACGTTCTCACAGTGTTATTGAGTGTTTTCCTGTTTCTTCTCCCGTTGTCTCAGGACAGTGAAAGTTTTGAGAAATGGAAAATGAAAAACGAAGAAACAAGCTGTAGTATGATTAACTGACCTTCTACTTATCACTGCATTTACTGACCTTCTGCTTATCATCATATTTCCTAATCTTGGAACCAAGCTAGAAACACTTTTTGGAATGACGGGTGTTTTGGCTTATCTTTTCGCTTTGAGAAAAGACCACTGTGGTGAATCAAATCAAATGAACTAAAACCATCTGACATACTTCAGCTCAAACACGTCAGTTATCCAGTTCTCACCTTGTTTTCATTTAAAGATTAAATTTATATATATATTTCTTTACACCAAATGAGGTCAGTCAGCTAAGACACGTTTGCTTCTTTTGTTTTGCCTTGAAGCTATGAAGCTAATGTAGCTAACAAGTACTGGGAGATTAGCCACAAGGTTAGCAGTGAGCTAATCTTGTAAATAACTCTACATTTGCTTCAAACCGCATTCAGTTGTTTAGTAATCTCAAACAGACCTGCTTTCTGAAGTGGTTTCTAACTATGAAAAAGCTAATAAAAGTACAGACATTCAGGCTTCGAGTTAGCTGCTAATGCAGTTAGCTATGTGCAGTGTTGGGGGCAACATGGTATAAAGTAATGCCCTACAGTAACGTGATTATATTCTCCTGTAATTAAGTGAGGTAATGCATTACATTGTCAATTTTTGGATCACATTACAGTTACTCAGAGGTGAATGTTCTGTACTCAAGTAAAATACAAGCGCTTTGAACTCATAATCTTACTCTTCTCTTCCTGACAGGGACGCTAACTGTAGATACTGGATTTTTTTCAGGAGTAGCTGTCCATTCACAACACATTGCAGTGGACATTGCCTCTTAGAAAGTGTCTGCTTTGTAATTTATGGTTTCTTTATTGTTAATTGAATCTTAGTATTTGTTATAGCTACATATGACAGTAAATGCAGTGAATTGACAAAGACTTCAATAGTCAGCCAGACTTGCTAGTTAGCTAACTTAGCCACACGAGACGTGTTCAAAGTGATCGTTTCTTAGGTTTAATTGGTAATACAGTGTTAAACATAGTTTAATTTACATCCTAAACCTCTCCTCGTACCTTCAGTTTAGGCAATGTGTAAAATTTCGCTCTCAAAGCCAGACAGACTTGCTAGTTAGCTGACTTAGCCACACATGTTCAATTTGATTTTTTCCTAGGTTTGCTAGGAAATTGGTAATGCAGTGTTCAACTTGGTTTAATTTACATCCTAAACCTCTCATTGTATCTTCAGTTTAGGAAATGGGTCACTTTTAACTCACCAGGCCATTCAGATTGAGTAGTTAGCTAACTTAGCCACAAACTAGGTGTGTTTAATATGATTTCTTTCACAGGTTTAACTGGTAATGCAGTGTTCCATGCACTTTAGCCTAAATCCTAAACCTCTCTTCATATCTGCAGTTTTGGAAATGGGTAAATTTTCACCCCTAAAAAAAGGCAGACTGGCTAGTTAGCTGACTTAGCCACACACCAGATGTGTTTAATGTGATTGTTTCTCAGGTTGAATTGGTGATGCAGTGGTTCACATGGTTTTATCTACATCTTAAACCTCTCCTCATATCTACGGTTTAGGAATGAGTAAAATTTCACTCTGTGTAAGCTTTACATTTTTATCATAAAAATTTTATTTCAAGGCAGCTGTTTTTTATTGTTTCTACTGGTTACTTTCTCAGTTTTTAAACAGCATTAGTTGCTTATCATTTTTATCTAGCACAACTATCTGTGTCTTGGGAATTTTAATGAGGCTCACTTTGACTGGCTTTTTCTCTGTGAACAAATTTCTGAAAAGGACCAATGGGTTTTCCCTTGTACTTTCCAGTTAGTACAGGTGTGTGGGTTTTTACAGAGAAATTGAAGTAATCAGTAAAGTATCTTATTACAGTTCAAGAGATCAGTAATTTGTGTGATAGATTACTCTTTTTTGGTTAGCTACCCCAACACTGGCTATCTGACATACTTTTGTCAGACTGTATAGATAAAAGTATGTCATACAGTAAGCGTGCTTACAAGCACACCAATAATAGGATAATTATCTGATTTCAGCAGCTATCTGATTATTCATCTGTTTATGTAAACAGCAAACTCTTTTTTCTTAGATCGGGTTACAGCTGTTATTGAATTTTAGAAATCCGATAACAAGAGCTGGACTTTATTTTTTTGTTTGTCTTTGCTTTTTTATAGATGAAATATACACGTCAAGTTTTGAAATCAAACACACGTTACGTTTATCTCACGTTTATGTCACGTTTATGTTAGTCTGTGAGTTTATTGGATGCAACAGATGACATCCAATTATTGCCTGATTCGTGTAGGCCCAGGGCTTTACCCGATTACCCAAGTGCATGTAAACACGTTCAACGAATGTCTGATTTTCTGCAGCCATCAGATTATTAAGTGAATGTAAACACACTCAGCATTGAAAAGTACATGAACAAGTCTAGTTTAGATTAACAAGTGAACATTATGTCAGGCAGTTGTGTGATGACTCACATATTAATTACACAATGCTTATTTCTGATACAAGCTCTCTGTACTTGTTAGTCATAGTAGTAGGTGGTATGGGCAAGAATTTATGTCACAGTAT